CCTATTTTTGTAACCAGATTGGCGTCACTTGATCAACCAATATCTTAAGCCTAATGGATGACAGAATGTCTGGCCCTGGAGCTAGGGGCAGATAACCAGGACGGGATCTATCAACAAGGGCAGATTATGAAGATACGATATACGTACAATAGTATTGATACATAATAAGTTCTTTTAGATATTTTTTAGGCACACAAAAAGAAATGAAATAAAAAATATATATTTTACCATATTTTTTGCTGTAGCATCCTGGTCTCATTCTCGCTTCTTTTCTACTAAAATATCGGAGTTTGGTGAAAAGAAACCAGTGACTGACTTTCATTACTGCCTTCAAGTGGCCAATAGTTCTTGAAATTTATTTTGATTTGTTTACGCGCATTTGAGAGAATTTTTAAGAACAAACATCAACTTCCAGACATGGATATCATTTTTGTTATTTATCTTCCAAGTCCTGATAAAATGTTATTTTTATGCCAACATCATTCTCCAGGGCCTCAGTGCGGACTTATCTCAATGAGTATCTACCAAGAAGATGGATTGGGTGTGTCAGTGATAACGACAATGTGCTGTTGAAATGGCCACCACGTTCACCTTGTGAATTTTTCTATGGGGCTATGTCAAAGGACAGGTCTATACCCCCCTCTTTATACAAGCCTAGAGGAATCTAAGCAGAGAATCACTGAAGCGCTTGAGAATGTTAGTCAAGACATGCTACAGCGTGTTTGACAGGAACTGGACTAGCGACTTGACGTGTGTCTTGTCACAGGTGGTGCGCATGTTGAACATTTGCGAAGCTTTGTGAAATCGGTTATTAAATCTAAATATCTTACTCAAATTTTGAGAAATAAATCTTTTATTATTCAACACGAGGCCTATTTAATTTCGTTTGCCTGGAACATATAGTTACTCAGATATTTACATTTAAAATGATGTCAGTTTTTTGGGACACACTGAATATCGTAGACATAATGATCTTTATTTATAACTTGTAACTTTGATTTAAATCTCGTCACCACCCTTAAATCACTGCCTAGTATTTGCAGATTTCAATCTGTGATCAAACTCGCCATCTGTTTCTCGTTTATATTAAATTTATATGAAGAGATAAGCAAAGATTGAAATGTATCTTCCCCTGTTATTTGGCCTTTCAGAGGTACAAGTTCCACAAATTCTTCTATGATGTACATATCTTCACCAACCTCGGGAATGAAAATGCAAAGCTACACCATATCAGTAATGACGAAGGAAAAATGCAAGAAAAGAATGTTTGTAAGTTGCGTGTTTAAATTTTTACTGTTTCCTATAAAAGGTTATGCAATAATGTTCCTTGACAATTGATAGATTTGAAAGTAATTGCTGTTTTTTTTTTCACCACAAGTTATCTGATGTCGTAATCATGCCTTTTCGTTTTCCTTAAAAATTATTCTAACAAATTTATCTGAAAAAAGCTTCGACGAAATGCCTATTTCATTTATTATTACGTACTAGCTGTAGCATAACTCTTTATGTTAAATATAAAAAAGAAACAAAAACAAGAAAATTGCTGATTCTGATTGCATGTTTTTTTTAAAAATCTTTTTACTTATCATCAGAATGTTTCGACTTGAGGGCACAAAACAAACCAATGTGTTTTCTCATTTTCACGTGGTTGCTCGCTACCGGGCATACACATCTGCTCAAGCCCATTTGTGGTTCTTCAACACCCACTGAGGCAACGTGTAGTTTATACTGCAACTAATTTTTTTTACTATAATCTTTTTAAATTTTAATGTTTTTTTTTTGTCATGGCACATTTTGCTCTTTATCAGCGGAAATTTGTTTACCCCAAATCAAGCAGGTCGGTTTACCATCCATTTCATAACTTTTTTTTTTTACAATATTTTCTACATTAGCACGTTTTTGCATCGGTGTAGATGAAGTAGATATATAAACGTTTTAGATAAAATGATTTGTAAAACTAGGATTACGTTTTAACTAAATCAGTACATCACCGACATGAATAAACAGGATTTACTGGGACGTGCGTGTGAAACGTTGAAAGCCGTGTTTCTTTTAGCCTTAAAGTTTTTCTTTAACCCTTAATGGCTGATGGTTAAAGATAATCTGTTTTATAACCGCCTATATATATATATATATATATATATATATATATAAATAACAAATAACACATTGGCATTTTTTGATACATTTTCATAATTTTTTTTTTTTACTTTTTATTGTCTATTGGTGTTTGAAGTCAGATTTCGTAATTAACCTTTGGAGAGGGATACTACCACTTACTAGGTTAAAATGGTGAAAAATGCCACGCTAAGAAACCATTCGCGGAGACCCAGGCTCTGGTAAACGACCGCGACAGATGGAGGAGAATAGTGAACAGGTCAGCACATAGGCGCCCCAACGACTCCTACCGGGGTTGTGGTGGTAGTGAATAATAATAATAATAATAATAAGAAGAAGAAGAAGAAGAAGAAAAAGGTGGCTATGGTTACTTTCCAGTTTGTTGTGCAAGTAGGTATGTATTGCACAATTGACACTTTATGATAGATTTGAATATATGTATGCATCTTTCTTATTTTCCTTCTCTCTCTCTTTCTATCTATATATATATATATATATATATATATATATATATATATATATATATATATATATGTGTGTGTGTGTGTGTGTGTGTGTGTGTGTGTGAGGGCTCTGGATAGATGTAGTACTTTTGATGTCGGGCACCACTAGACGAAGAACTTCTTCGACTGCAACAGCGACGTGCTTCCGAACGAGGCGAGCCACCCAGTTGGAGGACATCGGATGTGGGCTAACTTTGAGACGTTACGGGTTCGACAGGTTAAAATACCTAAGACAGGCTACTTGATGAGCACACCAAGAAACCATACACGGAGACTCACGCTCTGGCACACGACCGCGACAGATAGAAGAGAATGGTGGACAGCTCCGCGCGTCGGCGCCCCAACGACTCCTTCCGGAACAAGAAAGTCGACGTGTTAACAGAACATTTTAAAATTAAAATCGATTAAAATTTCTTTTTAATATGATTGAGCCGCGGCCCGGACTAATTACGACTGCAGGCTGTATGTTTCAAACCTCTTATCGATATTACGAGTTGTAATTATCAATATTCAAGGAAGTAACATTGAAATAGTCGATTCAAGTCTCGCAATCGTTACATTCGAAAGCCCCGCGTCAGTAAACTTTAAATTTCACTGCACCTTGATGAGAAGCTTTTAAGTGACATTATATATGTTGATGACACGATACTGATCTCGCAAATAATTTGCCAAATTGAAATCGTCTCCAACAAAACTTGAAAATGCTTTGAAGAAATAAGGACAGAAAATAAACTCGGTCAGACGCGAAGTAATGACAAACAAAAAAGATACAATCATGACAGATGGTAAGACTTTTGAAAATGCTGGCAACTTGGTCTTTCTAGGATTGGTTATCTCTTCTACACCTGATAATATTGTAGTAGAAAAACACAATTTACACATAGAGATAAAAATTAAAGCCAAATTTATACAATTATTAGAAAGCATATATCTCTAACTACACACCAATTTTCGTCCAGCTAAATCACACTCTACTCAAAACAAATTTTAAAACAAACAAAAGTATACCAGAGTGCTGGCCATTATCGACGCGATTCTCACTTGCCACAGATTTCTACAACTACGTCCGTGCATTTTCCTTATATAGACTATAAGTGAAGCCGGACAGGGGAGAGCGAGAGAAAGAGGGAGAGAGAGACTTCATGCACACACGCTAACCATAGCGATTACTCGAGAGCACGGCTGACTGCCCGTTCGACCATTAGGCCGTGAAAACCACCTCCTGTGAACACAGAAAGAGAACGGACCCCACTATCAATGTGACAAGCCCAAACCGATAGCTAACAAGCTGCCAGCCGAGTTAAGTTTTCACCCTCTCGTTTCACACCTCGTACACTGTACATTCGAAAGCTACACTATACAACTGACCAGAGACATTTTCATATCTTGTAAATGAAAATAAATCTTTGGTCATTTCTCAAAACTAGTGTCTAATTTGGTTCTTTACTCCATCCAACGTCCACCTCGGATCAATATAAAGCGAAGAATTAGAACCTGCCTCAACTGCATTTGGAAAACTGAAGGAAATGATCAGAGACAGATAAGACCTTCATACTACATCAAGACTAGGCTCTACTATACTCTGGTCGTCCTCTTTGAAACGTAGTCACTGAGAAAATAGGACATACAAAGGCTTTGTCTTAAAAAGCAATTCCCTCAGAGCCATGGACGGGATAATATCAGAGAGAATCAGAATGGCTACAACATGGACAAAACTAGACGTGAAGTCTGATGTTATTATTCTGATTGGAAAGACGAGGTTAAACTGGTTTGGCCATTTAATCAGAAGAGGAGAACGAAGTTTTGTGTACATTTCCTACAAAAACACCTTTCCTGGTAATGGATTCCAATGTGGTAGATCACTTAAGGGAGTGAAAGGTCAAATCATTGAGAACACCGGAATACCACTTTTGACGCACAAAAGAATTACCCTAGGCTAATAAGAAATAGCAAAGCTGTGTGAGCAAGGATATTTTAAGGATTATACAACTAATGAATGAATGGCCTTTTGTGGTTACTTTTTAAAATAAACTAGGCTAACTACGATTTCTAAAGTCAGTTTAACATTTTTTAATGTTCAGCTTTCAAATGTAGCGTAATTTACTACATGCATCTCATTCTAGCAACACTGGTCCATATTCTGAAAATGAATGACGTATAAACAATATGGTTGTTAATATACACTTTTAATGCGTTCATTGGACAAAATGAGTTAATTAGGTCGGTTATTTAAATGTTATTTCAATTTGGTGAAAGAATAGTAAACTTGAGATTAAATGTTAAAAATTTAAGAGTTGCTATAATTCACAGAAATGTAGTCATAATGACAAAATAGAGGAAATATGGATAAATAACGATTTTAATAGATAATTGATTTACCTTTGTATTGTTTTATCTTCAATTTTTCCTTCAGGTAAAGGCTTTATTTTCGGCCTGAATGGTTCCACTTTGTATAGTTCGTGTTCTTTGTATTTCGCGTTGTATTCAGTGAGTCGGCACTGTTGCTGCTTCTCGCCTTTGCTCATGAAACTTGTGGGGAGATGTTTGCAATAATGTCGCCTGTTAAAAAAGACGAAAAACTTAATATTAAAAAAAATCTAACCAAAGTATTAAGAAACAGAAAAAAATTCGTTAGAATCAAAGAAAAGAGTATTGAACTGTTACGTAACATCAGTTGTCCTACATGTCAGTGAATGCTGGACAATCTCCAGATGAAGAAGAGACTTGAAGCAAGAGAAATGTGGTTCTATAGAAGGATGCTGAAAATACCATGGGTCGAACATGTGAACAAGGAATGAATTTTTAGAGAAAATAGAAACAAAAAGGGAACTTGTACTTAACATTGAGAGTTGAAGTTTCTAGGGTACATAATTAGAAAAGAGGCCTTGGAAAATTTGATACTCACCATACAGATTGAAGGCAAGAGGAAAACAACATATAACCTACATAGCGAGCCTGAGTAAAAGATTAAAAAGACAGAACTTATTACGAGCTACAGTCAGGAAATTGTAAATAGCCATTATTGACAATTTCCTGAAGGGACACAGCACACAGAAGAAGGTATGAAAGTAGATTTTTTCATTTTTTTTCTCCAGAAGTGCAGCTAGGATTAAGGGTGATAGTTCTTCAGCATTCATTAAATTCATTGCTTACTCTGAATGATTTGGTTTATTTTGTCTTACGACATATCAACCGTAATGGGTTATTTAATGCCGACAAGAATTTTAGAATAGATTTGTATGAATAGAACATGTATTCTTTGTAAGCAATCAATTTGTAGATCAGGCTTCGTTGACATATTTCTGTAAAGAATGTTTCTATCGAGCGTCTGGTTTCATTGATGTATTTTTTCCAGATATTTTTTTATTCCAAAATGATATGTAATATTTTTTCTTTTGTAAATGTAAACTTTTACTATAAAAATATATTTTAATATTTTAATAGTGTTTGACTCCAGTTTGGGAACTATTTGCCCATAGCTGGGACCTTAACAGGGACCATAGCTGGGACCAGCTATGGTCAGAGTAGATCTGGGAACAACAGCAATTAAGAGGTGGTTCCACGCCCCTCAAAACCTCTCGATCAGATGCCTTGCTGCCAGATGTAGTTTATCGCCATACCCAGTACGCTGCTTATTCTGAGGAGATAATGCTGCAAAATAGAAAAGCCGCCCAGGCAACGCATTTCACGTCTTTATTCCAGGCGTTTTCTTTGGAATTAGACAAATCTGTGTATAAGAGTTGGAATTTTGAGGAAGAAGTAATAAATATCTTTATCAACTGCTACGGAGAGAAATTTTGTTTTTCTTTCTGTTGGATTTTAAATTAACCCACTCAGACTAGATTTCTCTCACTTTTTATGCGAAAAGAAATTCTGGTCGTAGCATCTGATAAAAGATATTGACCTCTTCCTCAAAATTCTGACGCTTGTGCACAAGCTTGTCTCTCATTCCAACCTAAAGGCGTAATTATTCTTCGACTGAATAACACAAAAGTCGTCTTTTTGATTGGCTAAAAACCACGGCGAGTTTGTTGATTTATACAATTACAAACGTGTGCCCTTCTGTCTCGAATAAGTCAACGGCCACGGGCGACTCTCTCATAAAAATCTGGGAAAATTTACAGATGTTCCTTGATCAAATTTATTGATAAATCAGAAATATTAAATCTATTTCATCTTGAAATTTCACTGCATTTTTTGCGTTTTGCTAAATAAGGCTCTCAACGAACCTCTGATATTCCTAGCTCCAATAATACTGCATATACTTCAAACTTGGTGACCATAGTTAATACTTACTGTAGACTACAAAAATATAAACAACTTAAGTGTGTTTTATGTATTTTTATAAGGACCCGAAAATGACCAAAATGCAAAAAGATGCCGTTCACTTTGAGAGCTACTCATTTACAAAATATCTTTCATACACATACAATTTAGTTTTTCTGTTATTTAAAACTCAATAGATTATTTCTATGCAGTAATCTTATTAATTTCTCATATAACAAAATTAAAAAAAAAAAAAATATTACTGCTTGAAAATTGCTCGATTTTTTTAACATCCTTAAAATTGAATATATTCATGATACCAGTTAGGCAATTAGAGAATTTTTTAAATATTTTTACCACAAATTCTTACATGTCTAAAGACCATATGAAAAAAAAATTCGTCTTGAGTTCAAACTTTTGACTAGGGTTAAAACATATTCTTCTAGAACGACTTGTCATGGTGAAATGATGGTTTTGTCGATTTTGACACCTTATAAATTTGATGCTGAAAGTTGGTATCCCTGTAATTTCCTATGCAAATAAACTATTTTGGGTTTCATTTTATCTTTCTTCTAAATAGCTAACATACTATGGGCCCTTAAAATGCTTTTTCTTTTCTAAAAACGATTTCAAATACGTATTAAATCTGTTTCAATTTAAAACCTCAATCCAACCAATCACCACGGAGTTTAAAAAAGACGTTCCCAGAAAAATAACTTTAGATTTTCAGATTTCAGACAATATTTTCAACATCAAAAGTACTTTTCAATTAGGGAACTCACCAAAAATCGCTAAAAAAGGATACATAAGGAAAATATGCCCAAAATATAAAATAAAATTTTATCATCAGAATCCTTGTGTCATTATTAAGGTGGCAGATTAAAGGATTTTTTCATGTAAAAAGTTTTAAAATGCTTTTTAGAACCTTGAAAATTTTGGTTAAAAAGTTTCTTGCGTCAAAGCGTGACAATAACGCTGTACTGGAAATTTGAACTTAGGGTTAACCGCTATCTTCCCTACATATATGCAAAATCTTTTGTAACCCTCTACCTGGAGTGGTTCCCGGGCCTTGTACGAGGTGAACGTCATTTTAAAAAATAAAAGCTATAATTCTGAAGTTTTTGTCATGGAGGCATTCATAAGTGTATGCGTGTGTGTTGATAGGTGTATGCCCGCGCATACACAAGGTGCTATTCAAAATTTCAGAGTATGTAGGATTTTTGCTGATACTCTTTGTAAACAGGACCTTTTATGAAATCCCTGTATACATGCCCAAGAACATTTCTTTGAAAGAGATAGAGGGAAATTAGATGTTGTGGCATGCATGCATGTATATATCTTTCTTAATTACTAACTTTATTGATTACAACAAAGATATGTGATAGGACATTCCTAAATTAGGGATTGTGACTTAGCTAAGACGGAACGTCCTCGCAACGTTGCAGACACATTGTATTTGGGTTGGGGATATGTGACATTGTAGCGAATTTTTTTTGCAACGTTGTAATCAACTATTTTCTTGATCCGAAACTGACCTCCCATTTCCAACGTTGTCACAATCTTACAGTAACGTCGCCAAGTGCTGTAGCTGAAAAGTTCCACGTTCTTCAATTATACCATTTGTCTATTTATTCTTCATTTAACAATATATATAGGTGGTATAAAAAATTATTTTCGTATTTGTTTTATTGAGAATCACTAATTTAGATTATGGATGCACGTTCTAATATCTTTCAGGAATTTATTATCCATTTTCTGTTAATGTAAATTTACAAGGCAGTGTATTTACAATGTTAAAATCTAGCGTTGCAGGCACATTGTTGGGATGCTACGTACAGAATATTTGAAACATTTATGTAATGTTGGGCTTTTGGGAACAAGGAACAGGAGGAAGTGGAGAGTCATGATCGCTTACGTCCTGAAGGGACACGGCACATAAAAGAAGAAGGTGTAATGTTGGAGTCAAGGTGGAGTAATGAATAGAGGCTCAGATTGGGGAATTGGAGAACAGAGTTCGAATTCCAGTCAATTACGTGGGAAAGGTGAATGAATCCATCACTCCCCACATACGGGTAAATTGGTTGACAGCTCGTCTAAGAGATGAAAAACTCTGAATTCAAACCACCTGCTGTCTGGAAGTTCTTGCCTCTTTAACTTCTGAGAGGAGCGACAGGGTAACCTGAACGTCCCCGGTGCTAAAGGAACCAGCAAGCCATTGTACTATTCTGCCTTGAATGTCACCATGAACCACAATTGGGAGATGGAGGAGAGTGGTGAACACAACGGCGGCCCAAAAGCGCTGACCGAATCAGATGAAGATGTAAATGTAGCAGAAAACTGTGTAGAAACTTCATTTTGTTAGCCGGGTAAAAATATCTATAATATTACAACCCATTCTCTCTCTCTCTTCTCTCTCTCTCTCTCTTTCTCTCTCTCTCTATATATATATATATAATCTTTAAGGTAGGAAACTGAAAAGCATATAACTAGTTTGCATTAAATTACCTCTCTACCCTCTCCGCTTTAATGGAAAAGTTGATTGTCTGATTTGTATACACTTTACGAATTAACATAATCATTTGTATCAGTTGTTAATCTAACGCCTGCGATCAGTTTAAGACAGTTTCTGTCATGATCCATTTCTAAAAAAATTCTTTTTCGCTTAGTTTGAATTTAACTTAGGTCATTTTCGATTGGTTGATGAAGGTGAATCCCTGAAACCTATATATTTTTTCTCGAAAAAAGAGGGAGGTATTTTGCTTTCGAAATTAAATTAATCGTTCATTCGCTAGTAATTTACAATAGCCTGAGGAGTCTGCAATTGTGTTTTTGATTTAATATCCTAAAATATAAATATTTATCTATCTATATCTATATATGTATATATATATATATATAAAATAATAATTTTCTCTATGCTAAATTCGGCCATGCCAAGGCAGTTTATAAACAAAAAAAAAAAAAAAAAAAGAGAGGAAGAAATAAACAGATGTCTAGGTCAGACAAATCAGGCACTCCTCATTTCACCGGTCTTGACATTCCGATCTTAAAATGTGCTCCCGTTTCTAAATCCGTACAACGAACCAAAAACTTTATATTTTGTATAAATAACACACAAGCAAGTCAATGTATGAGCGATTACTGAAAAATTACAGATGATCTATGACCAAAGCTTATATGAGAGAAGATATGAAAAAGATAGAAATACGAGTCTAGAGATTTCGAAAATATAAACAGATCTGAGAAGAATCGAAAAATGAAAGTGAAAACATTGACAAGATAAGTGCAATAAG